TAACTGAAAGTTTAGCGGATACATTCGAGTAAGAATCCATAAGCGTAACTAAAAGTTTAGCGGATACAATTCGAGTAAGAATCCATCACGTATTCTTGTTATGAAATTGAAATCTAATTATCAATAATATGATATTTTGTGAAACTTAAAAAACTTTGATAATTAATTACAGGTTAGTAATAAAGCCGAAACTGGTTATTTATTACTATTTGTCATATTTTAACTGATTGATTGATTTTACAGTTTCAAATGTATGATAATACACTAAAATTAGTATGATGATTCGATTATGTTTTCTTGATGCATGTATTGCTTGTTTTACGTGATTTACAGTTAAATTAGAAAAATGAAAAATTAAATGTAAACAGAAAATTGCTTGATTAACTGAATGGATGAACGGTAGCCTTACTAGATATCCTGAGAGATGGTGGACGGCCCAAGTACATAGGGAACCCTACCGTGAATGTTACCTCATACCAGATGGGGTATCGAATATTGGTATTTTTGGCGCTCATATCAAACGGGGTATGAGGACGGTCTATTTCACCATCATACCGGACAAGGTATCGAGAATTAATATTTTTGGCACTCATACCGGATGAGGTATGAAGACGGTTCGTTTTACCCTCATATCGAACGGAGTATTGAGGGATGGTACTTTTGGCGCTCATACTGGACGGGGTATGGTGACGGGCGGGTAGTTGACAATGTTGAATAATTGTTCACGCATAGTAGGGACATCCATATGGACCACCATGGATATCAGTAGGTAGATAAAAGAGGAAGTTGTTGTTCTGAAAAATTGAATATGATATTAGGATATTGGTTATATTATTGCCTTTATGAGTCAGTTTTAAAAATTTCGTTATGGTAAATATGCGGTAAATAATTTTAGTTATGATAAATAAATTTACTTAAATTAAGAGCTCCATTAGTTGTTTTTATGATTTCTACCAATCTTTATTTCTATATCGGTGAGTAGTATGATATTCTTACTAGACTAGTGTAACTCATTCTTTTATTAACCATTTCAGATCAAGAGGACCAAGATCCAGATCTCGATCCATAAAAGGGTTGCGAATAGAATGCTCAGTTGTTTACTTTTCATTTATTTCTTTTATTTTTCGTTTATTCTTTTAAATGGGTCATTCCCATAACTCTATTGGGTACTTTGAATTACTATGTAAGAAATGTAAACCCTAACTTATTATTTCGTTTTCACATTCAATTTATAATTTATTTTCTTTTAAGTTCTAGGTCGTTACAGTTGGTATCAGAGCCAGGTTCCTCGAACCATTCCTTACACAAAAACCTTATGAAACACCAAAAACAATTGATTATCACTCAATCGTTTCTTGTGAAATGCAGGTACAGATAAATGAGGAGAGGAGGACCCCCACTAAACCGAGCAGCCCGGGAGGGTTCGCTTCGAGAGGATGTGGACTGACTATTTGAAATATTGGAGAGATCACTGTCTAGCAGACCCGAGAGGAAAGGAGGGAGCTACTTGACCCTCCCTATTGTCATAGGTTGAGCCACCCCTGTAGCATGAGGATCCTGAGCCACCCCCGGTATGACCCTGCTCCTCCCCAGTATCATCCCAGC